CATCACTTTTGAGCTCAGAAGACACTCTGGGACCTTCATCCTCTCGAATACTATGTTAATCTGGCCATATACTGATCAAAATTTGACAGGTCCAGCAGGGACTGGCTGAATTTCGATCAGTATGTGCTCCCCTGCTTGACAGGAGTTGACCATTTAATGGACTTCTGTAGAAGGGACATGTTGGAAAATTTCCAATCAATCAGCATATACTGACAGTGGTGGCTGCAGCTGTCAAAATAACAGGTTTTGGTTGAGGGGCTATTCTTCCACCCACCTTGTTTGAGTGGATGGAGGAATCCGTTTTTGTTTTTTGTTTTTTTCACTCAGCCCGCTGGCTTAAAAAAACAAAAAAGTGTAAGGCCAGTAGTGTGTGTTCTGGTCCACTTACAGTACCTGCACCTGCACACCTGTGAGATTGGGATGAGTGGCTGTAGCTGTGCAGCCACTGCATCCCTGTGGACATGAATTGGCTGCCTGCACGCAACAGCTGGAGGCTCATGCTGTGTAAACACACAGCCCATTAACACCTTAAGCATACAAGCTTAATATCAAAAGTGCCACCAGGATGACCAAAAGCTCTGAAAGCCATAAATCTGAGTGGTAGATGCAAAGAAGATATGTGACTAGCAAAAGCATGATCCTAAAAAGCATGGTTCTGTGCATTAGATGCCAGTTTATCTGGTATTGGCGACATTAGACAATTTCCCTAGTGGGGCCCCCTTCCCATCCTCAAGCCCCATAGCAGCTGCAAGGGCTGCTATGGCTATAGTTATGTCAGTGGTTGGGCTGTGTTTGAGAATAATTGGTAATGAATTCCAAAGCACATAGATTATACATTGTTATGCCATACATTTCCAATTCAACAATGTGTTAACACAGACCTTGCACCTGAAAAGCAAGGTCTGCTTTTCAAATGTGGGCCCCCTCCCCCTTGCTGGAATGCTGAATAGCAAAAAAAATTAGGGCCCCCTGCAGGTTTATGCCATAATGTAAAAACCCCTCACAATAAAGGACAAAGTACCTTAATGGCTAATGAACAGAATATATTTATTGTAGGACATAATGAACAGTTCAGTGCATAAACCCATCCATCCCCTCCCCACTCACAACCCACACCCAAACAGCCCCCCCCCCAGAACACCAGAGCCCCCCCAATTGAGATCCCACCCCAGCACTCCATCCCCACCCTCCCTAGGTCACCCCAAACCCCCAAAGAGAGACCCCCCCCTCCCTCCTACAATCCACCCCTACCCTCCTAGAAGTGGAGGGATCCGGGTGACATAGGCCAGCCCTCCACACCTCTCCCTGTCCTCCTTCACTGTGCTGGTGGAAACTCCCTATAGACCCTGCTGAATGTGTGCTAAAGACCAGAATGATAACCAGCAATGGTGTCAACTCCACAAAATTATTAGAGGAAGGCAATGAAGCAACAAGGTGCCAATGAAAGTTCACATGTAACTCCGTGTAAGATATGCCCAAGTCCTCCTGTGTTCACATCACCATAAACAGAGCTTCAGGAAGGACATATAATCGGCACTTGACAGGTCCATAGTCAGTAAGAGAAATCCATCACTCAATGCAGTAGGTAAATGGAACAGTCTTACCATGTGGATCTCAGGACATCCATGCTGACAAAGTGAACCGGACTTCCATGCAGTCCCAGGTAGCGATGAGACAGCACAACTTGCAGCACAAAAGGCAATATGCACACAGCGGGTCAAGAGAGCCAGCATGCACTCCAGCTTCTCAGTAGGGGATTGCACGTGGAAGGAGGACGTGATCCCTTCCGCCTACATGTTTCGCCCCTCACACTGACCAGGGCTTCTTCAGGGCGTAGCGTCCTCCTTCCACATGCAATCCCCTGCTGAGAAGCATATTCCACTTTGTGCTACAAGTTGTGCTGTCCTAAACTTAGAGATAGGTCACATTAAGTTAGAAATATTAAAACCATTGGGTCAGCCTCCTGTTAAGAGACACCACAAGCCCAATGGAGTACAGCCCTATCCTCCTTGTAGCCGATTCTCCTCCAGGCTTCGGCTTTCTGGTGCTACCGTTTTTTGGCAGCTGTTTGTAACTTCATGATGTATTTTTGAGGCACAGCTGTACAGTAAGACTGGTACTAGAGTCTCCTAGGATGTGCAATGTATCCTAGGAGACTGACGTCACTGTCACCTAAGTGAGGAGTGAGTAATTTGAAGTGGGTATATGTAAAAAAAAAAAAGTACCCACTCCCAAAAAACTAAAATCTTGCAAATGTGTTAGAGCCTACGGGGAATGAAGAGCCTCCTGGAATGTATGATGTGTTCCTGGAGGCTGCGGGTAGGATGGACGGATTAGATTGACTTCATCCTCTCCTTTGCAAGGATTGATGAAGTTAGAGAAGGTACCTGCCAAAAAAAAAAAGTACTCCAAAAAATAAAAATTTCTGCAAATTTGCTAGGGCCTGGGGAAAGGAATAGGATGAGCTGCCCTACGCGTCCTGGGTCTGCTTTAAGACATTTCAGATTGCATTTTCAGTGTTTTTCTTGACTGCAGAGAACATTCTGCCCGCTGTGTCCTTTAATGTAATTACAGGATATTGAAAGTGAATTCAGATCAAACCAGCAAGTTAGAATAAATGGTCCAGGGATAGATTTTGATAGCACTGTGTTCTTCTTACATCTACTTTTTTTAAGGTGTTGTGGCTCCTTATAAATAACAAGCACGACATATTTAGTTTAAAGCCCTATATTTATGTGCTTTTTCCATTTCCAATGTTTTCTCATGTGCAACAAATATTTTCTGGCTTTAATGATATCCCTCCCCTCCTGTCAATCCAATTCCAATTTCCTACATATATTAGTCTAAGGTTGATTTATTTAGTTAGAGCAGTTGGCTTTCTCTGTTTACTCATCACACCAGATTTGTGAAATTTGGCATTCCTAATTTCCCATAGAATGAAACTAGACTGACCTGCAAAATAAGCAATCTATATTGATTCCCTAGAATGGTAGACCCTACGGCAAATGTTTGAGGACCCTGACCATCACACATACCGATATAGCCAAAAGTATGTATTCAAATTCGGTCTTTCAGATGAAGGGTATTGTTAATGCTACAGGAAGACATTTTAGAGAACTGTGCATGGCTATCCTTGTAGTAGTTTTAGGAAGAATCGTTTCTGATCTAGCACAACTGTGCACAAATCCAAGACCACAAAGACATGGTTTGATGAGTTTGAGGTGGAGGGACTCAACCTGCACAGAGCCGTATCCTCATCCCAACCAAAAACCTTTGGGATTAGTTTGAATGCCCATTTCAGGCCAAGTCATCTTTCCAACATCAGTAGCCAACCTCAACATCACTGTTTGGCATAATTGGCACAAATGCTCATAGATACACTCCAAAAGGATCAGCATGACAGCCAGACAACTAGCATGTTTTGAAGAAAGTCTATATGATCAACACTTTAATGCAAACGTTTTCATCCCTTTTAACATGGAGGAATCCTTGAAATAACATTCTGGCCTTCTAATCATTTTTATATATAGATCCCCATCTAATCATTTTTATATCTAGATCACGTACATTAGTGTGATGTTACTGAGAAGAATGCTTCTTATACAATATTTGAGATCATTGGGAAGAATCTCCCTTACAATTAGCTAAAAAAGATCACTGGTGTCAGTGGTTACTTATCTGAAAGGTAGAAATTACCCATTGCTCAAGGAACCGCTAGCAACCTTTGTGGGACCCTAGGGTTCCATGGAACCCTGGTTAGGAATGGCTACTCTAGTTTCAGACCATTTAAAAGCTGCATTTTATTAGTCGTTAATGTAAGATCAACACTCTAGTGCAACCTTTTTCATCCTTTTTAACATGGCTGAACCCTTGAAATAACTTTACATTCTCAGGGAACCCCTTCTACTAATTTTTATATCTAAAGCTCATGTACATTAGTGTGATGGTCACTGAGAAGAATGCTCCTTACATCTTTGATCATTGGGAAGAACCCCCCTTACAGATAGCTAAAAAGATCAATGGTGTCAGTGGTTACCTATCTGAAAGGCAGAAATTGCTCATTGCTCAAGGAACCCCTACCAACCTCTGTGGGATCCTAAGGTTCCATGGAACCCTGGTTGGGAATGGCTGCTCTAATGTCAATCCATTTAAAAGCTGCACTTTATTAGTCATTAATTTTGGTACAGTTAAAAAACTGTGCAAAAACACTACACATTGCCTTAATTAAAGCTTTATTTCAGGTATGCATATTTTTGCATAGTTACATTGGTCCAGCTTGGACCACAATGTAAGCATGTATGTGTCATTCCTGGAAGATCCCAGTGGAAGCTGGAAATCACCATAATAGGCACCACTATAATAGGCACCACTGCTACTGTGATCACAGTTTCCAGGTCCCATGCCAAATGGCTGCCATGCTACTTAGAAAACACAGAGGGTTGCTCGCTCTGCATGTGCATCATTCAGAGTGCACTTTTTATTGTGTGCACTTCGCATTTTCAATAAAAATGCAAAAAATTCTCTAATTGGACGAGGTGGAGATTGTGATGTAAACATCCGGCCTCTTGTCCTCATCTAATCAGAGAATGCTTTGTATTCAATGAGAAATTGCAGGCGTTGCATGACTGCTGGAGTAATTGTGTATTTTCCTTGGAGTTCAGCTTTAAGGGTTTATGTGAGGGGCGGGAAAGCGGAGGATGGTGGTTCCAGAACATTATTTATAACAGCTGGCTGGTGTTCAGCTTAAAAAAAAAAAATATATATATATATATATATATATATATATATATATATATATATCTCAAATATATCAGTAAAAAAATGTAAAGATGAATAAAAAAATAGACCTGATTAAAGCGCTGAGCTTTGCAGAGCTCAATTTGTCATGTAGCTAGGTGCAAAACCAAAAACCTTTGTCTTCTTTTCAACAGGAGAACCCGTACCTCTGCAGCGATGAGTGCGATGCCTCTACGCCTGACCTTGCCCACCCACCTAGTCTCATGGTGGACAAAGACGAAGAAGGCCTGGCCACTTACTGGCAAAGTGTCACATGGAAAAGATACCCAGAGCCTCTGGTAGCTAACATCACATTATCCTGGAACAAGACTATTGAGTTAACGGATGACATTGTAGTCACCTTTGAGTATGGACGGCCCACCGCCATGATGCTAGAGAAATCATTAGACTATGGCAGAACTTGGCACCCTTACCAATACTACGCTGATGATTGTATTGAAGCATTTGGTATGACCCCTAAGAAGGTGGTGAATCTCATAGCGAGTAACGTCACCCGTGTGCTGTGCACAGAGGAGTACTCCCGCTGGGCGGGCTCCAAAAAAGAGAAAAACGTGCTCTTTGAGGTTCGAGAACGTTTTGCCATCTTTGCTGGCCCAGATCTGCGAAAGATGGAGAACTTTTACACTCGGATGGAGAGCGCCAAAGGTTTAAAGGACTTTTTCACGCTCACCGACCTGCGGCTCCGATTGTTGCGCCCAGCCCTGGGTGGGACATACGTACAGCGAGATAATCTGAGAAAGTATTTCTACGCCATTTCCAACATAGAGGTGACAGCCAGGTGAGTGACTGGTGGATAAAATCTACAATTTTGTGACTTCAGGTGAAATTTCCCCCCATCACCACTGCCTCCTGTTGTATCATAGGGACAGGAAATGAGAGAACTCACTCCAATGGTCATACATATGCAACAATCAAAAAACATTAGGCTACATTTAGACATGCGTCTGTTAGTGATGCAGTGATGTGTGGTGGATCAATGTTTGGGGGTGTTTGACAGGTGATGAACAGGCTATAATTCACCTCCTCACCACCTATTCTTTTGAATATGTTGTGTACAGCAGTAATACTACCCACCAAACACGACAGTGGGATAATTTTTGCCATGGTGTCTGTACACCCCTGCACTGTTGCCTTTTCAGCTTGAGGGGGTTGTTGGAGGTGATGAAAACATGGCCCAACTGCCTGGTGTTACTGCCCACCCCCTCCTTCTCACGCTCCCAAATTGCAAGGTTAGATTAGCCCTAATACAGTAATTGTCATGTTTTTGTTTCTGTCTGTGTTTCCATTAAAATGTCCTACTTAGTCTTGTGTCACCAGATGAGATGTAATATGGAATCTTTCCCACACAGTTAGAAAAAAAATGCCCTTTCTGCCCAGCTCTGCCATTCACAGAAGCTGTACTATAGCTAACGAATGAAACAGTATCTATGAATGGAGGCATCATAGCTATCAATCATCTGCCTCCATTCTTAGATCCATAGTTTCATTCATAGTATGACTTCTATGATTGGTGGAGCTGGATGGAAAGGCCGAGCATAGTCCTGATAAGAGCCTGTGAGAGCCCTTTAGGTTTAATAACACCCACTGCACTGAACCATTATGGTGGCGAAGGTTGGGGGGCATGGATGGAGGAGGATTTCAACTGACAGAAGAGGCATCAGCACAAGGGACACATCCTACTGCAAGTTATGTCCCTTGTTCTGCTTTTTGTGGTTTTTATTTTCGTTGTACCTTGACTTTACTACCCAGCTCTAGCCAAAACTTTGTATTTAATTTATTTAGTTTTGGATAGAGTGGGAACAGGTTAGAGCTCCTGTAAGGTTTTTATTTGTCCCTATTTCAGAACAGTAAATAATTGGAAATCTCTCTAGCAAGGACAAAAGCACATTTTCTGTAGTGTGAGGAAGAGTGAGAACCTCTGATACTGTTTTTATTTGATGTGCCTTCCTAATCCAGAAACAAGCTCCCCCCTTCTTGTGCAGGCCTCACTCCTTCCTGGGAGTCACAGACAAAAATAAAAAGAGAATTTTTAACCACACTATATCCCGAACAATAAATACAACTTTGGCTGAAGGCTTTAAGTCCCTGGTGCCCGTACTGTGGCCCTTTAGTACTTCTTGTGCTGCCCTACAGGCTCCTGTAGACAGAATTCTGTATTTTGCTCACTCAAGCAAATATTCTTCAGACTGGCCTCTAGCAGGTAAATGGTTTGCTTTGTTTTTCACACTCTCTCTTTTCTTTACTGTCAATTTCTTTTTTTTTATTTTTTTTCAGGATTTTTATAATTGATCTTGTTCAGAGAAATATCTAATGTGGCAAAAGTAATTTGTAAGAGAGTTGTAGGGAGCACAAATTATTATTCCACCTCTATTTAACAACTGAACTTCTCTATCATCCCTGCACAGTTATTACTTTTTTGTATCATGTACCCCTTCCTTTTAGATTGCAAGCTCTCATGAGCAGGGCCCTCCTAACCCTCTTATTGCATTTAAACTGTACTGTCTCCCTTTATGCTGTAAAGCACTGCACAAACTGTTGGCACTATATAAATTCTGCATAAAAAATTGTAAAGGGGCTGTATTAGAAGTGTTCTCTAGCAGTCCTATGTAATGTCCCCAGTCTGCAACAAAATACAGTTGCAAGAAAAAGTATGTGAACCCCTTGGGATTACGTGGAGTTTTGCATGAAGTGGGCATAAAATGTGCTCTGAACGTCATCTAAGTCACAACAATAGAAGAACACAGTCTGCTGAACATAATACTACACAAACATTAGATGTTGCCATGGTTTAATTGCACATAACATGTAAACATTCACAGTGCAGGGAGGAAAAGTATGTGAGGCCCTAGCTTAATGACTTCTCCCAGAGCTAATTGGAGCCAGGAGTGAGCCAACCTTGACTCCAATCAGTGTGATGATATTGGATGTGTTGCTGACAGCTGTCCTGCCTTTAAAAAACACACACCTGTTTTGGGTTTACTGGTTTCAAGAAGCAGAAAAGAGCTCTCAGAAGACCTACGATCAAGAATTGTTGACTTGCATGAAGCTGGAAAGGGTTACAAAAGTATCTCCAAAAGCCTTGATGTTCATGTGTCCACGCTAAGACAGACTGTCTACAAATGGAGAAAGTTTAGCACTGTTGCTACTCTCCCTAGGCATGGTCGTCCTGTAAAAATGACTGCAAGAGCACAGCGCAGAATGCTGCATGAGAATGTAAAGAAGAATCCCAGAGTGTCAGCTAAAGACCTACAGAAATCTCTGGCACATGCTAACATTTTTGTTGACACATCTACAATAAGGAAAACATTAAACAAGAATGGAGTACATGGGAGGACACCACGGAGGAAGTCATTGCTGTCCAAAAAGAATATTGCAGCACGTTTGAAGTTTGCAAAAGAGCACCTGGATGTTCCACAGCACTACTGGCAAAATATACTGGGGAGAGTAGCAACAGTGCTAAACTTTCTCCATTTGCACATTTTATGCCCAATTCATGCAAAACTCCATGTAATCCCAAGGGGTTCACATACTTTTTCTTGCAACTGTAGCATATTACAGTCTCTGATTATCTCTTGTAGTATGTTTGCAGTCTCTGACCCTCTCTTACAGTATGTCAGTATTCTCTGACCCTCTCTTGTAGAATGTTTTCAGTCTCTGACCCTCTCTTACAGTATGTCAGTAGTCTCTGCCCTCTCTTGTAGTATGTTTGCAGTCTCTGACCCTCTCTTACAGTATGTCAGTATTCTCTGACCCTCTCTTGTAGAATGTTTTCAGTCTCTGACCCTCTCTTACAGTATGTCAGTAGTCTCTGCCCTCTCTTGTAGTATGTTTGCAGTCTCTTACCCTCTCTTACAGTATGTCAGTATTCTCTGACCCTCTCTTGTAGAATGTTTTCAGTCTCTGACCCTCTCTTCCAGTATGTCAGTAGTCTCTGCTCTCTCTTGTTGTATGTTTGCAGTCTCTTACCCTCTCTTACAGTATGTCAGTAGTCTCTGACCCTCTCTTGTAGAATGTTTGCAGTCTCTGACCATCTCTTACAATATGTCAGTAGTCTCTGACCCTCTCTTGTAGAATGTTTACAGTCTCTGACCCTCTCTTACAGTATGTCAGTAGTCTCTGGCCCTCTCTTGCAGTATGTTTGCAGTCTCTGACTCTCTCTTACAGTAATATGTCAGTAGTCTCTGACCCCTCTTCTTGTAGTAATGTATTTTCAGTTTATGACCCTCTCTTACAATAGTATGTCAGTAGTCAGTTTCTGGCTCTCTTACAGTATGTCTCTTGGCCCTAGTATGTTTACAGTCTCTGACCCTCTCTTACAGTATGTCAGTAGTCTCTGACCCTCTCTTGCAGTATGTTTGCAGCCTCTGACACTCTCTTAAGGCGGCCAAGCATGGATCAAAATTCGAATTTTAATCTATGTATGGGCAGAACGCTTATACAGAAGTTGATCTACTGATCGACTTCTGTAGAACAAGCCTGTCGGGTTTTTCCCAATCAATCATTGCCACTGTAGCCAGCAGCACTCATCATTGTTTTCTGATGGCAGGGAAATCTCCTCAAAATACAATAACTCCCCCAGCCACATCAAGTGTAAGGGAATTGGGGATTATTTCTCATTTTACCTGCTGGTTGAACAAAAAAAAAAGAATAATGTATGGGTTGCCTTACAGTATCTTAGTAGCCCTTGACCTTCTCTTTTAGTATGTCTTGTAGTGTGTAGTATGTCTGCAGACCCTGACCCTCTCTTATAGCATATCTGCAGTCTCTTACAGCTTTCTGTAGTTTTAGACTTCATGCACATGAGCAAAAAAATGCAGCTGTAAGAGGTGTTTGGCATTTTTTATTTTTTTATTTTGATGCCTCTAACCCCCTGGTGCCCAACCTATGGCCCTTTGGTATATGATGTATGGCCCTCAGACCTCAGTGTTCTGTAATGGGAACATTGATTAGGTTATTAGCATTAATCTCTACCAGCCTCATATAACATATTCTCAGTATCGTATTGTCTTCTGCAACATACCCCCCAAAAATTTATCATGTCCACACTCTCTGGCCCAAATTTCCACTAATAGATCTGCAGTATATGGCAGTCCTTCCAAGCATTACATAAATTGAGCATTATGTGCAGGCCTTTGATGATGTCAGTGGTCACATCTGAGACCCTCTTTAGCTCATAAGTTGACAACCACTGCTCTAAACATAGCTCTATATTATTATTATTATTATTATGTGGCCATGCACATTAGGAATTTAGATTAGGTCTCTTTAAACTTTCGAAACAAAGGGCCAGTTTAATGCCCTTCTAACTTTAGGGGGGGCAAACTATGGCCAGTGGGAGTAAACAATGCCATAGGCTTTCTGGTCAGTGGGAGTAAAAAATTACATCATTGGTGTCAGTGGGAGGAATAGTGTCCCAACATTGGTGTCAGTGGGAGAATTAGTTCCCCATCTCTGGTGTCAGTGGGGGGGAATAGTACCCCATTGTAGGTGTCAGTGGAAGTGGAAGGAACAGTGCCTCATAACAGTGGAAGGAATAGTGCCCCAAAGGCCAGATAAAGTCAAGCAGAGGGCCACATCCGGGCTGTGTGCTGTAGTTTGGAGACCCCTGGTTTAGTAGTATTTAAAGCTGCGTCCAAAGAGGAGTTGTTAAAGATAATTTACACGCGTAAAGTGTACTTATGAACATAAATGTATTCCAATGGCCAGTATAAATTAAAATTGTGGCCAGTAAAATGCCTTTGTGCTGAATACCATACACGCGTACGTACACAACATTAG